TGGTTATACCCCCCCCCCCCCCGCTCCGAGCCCAACTGATGAGTCCATCAGCACCGATGACTATGCAGACGAGCAGATCAGGGGCCACACCGCCCGGACAATTTGACAGTTGGGTGGACAGAGTCACTCCTATGTCAAGCCGCGATCATTCACAAAAGAGCGGAAAAAGACAGCCGGCTGAACTGTCATTGTGTTGGTTCCTTTTCACTCAATTAAGGATTGGATTTGCGTTTTAATGGTTAGTTGGTCAAAGTTCATATACCCAAGGTGATCACCGGCGCTTACTGATTGTAGAAAGTACACTGAAAAACTTGTGGCCGGATATATTTCGACGAATACATTCATTTGCATATATATATATATATATATATATATCAAAATATACTGCGGTATCTCGAATATCGTACCAACTGAATCATGAGGCGGCCTGTGTGCAGCACATTCAGCTGTAGAATATCATAAACGAGAGATTCACTTGAGTCTCCCGTGAAAACCAAATAGATTTGGAAATGAGTGTATTTCTCGGAAAACAGTCCAATTTGGGTTCAAGTAGAACATAAGGTTGATGGAAACCTAGGGACTGCGCGCCCACTTGATGAGCCTCAAGAAGGGCGAACCGGTCATGGGCTGTAGAAGAGTTTCCAGCAACTTTACGAGGAGTGTGTATCACGATATCCCTAATGCCGTACTAAATGAAACGTCAGGCAGCCTAGTGCAGCATATTCAATAGCTTAATAACATGATTGTCTAACCAGTCACTGACCCAGTCAAAAAATCTAATCACTAGTGAATAGCCCAGTCAAAATTTTAGGCTCACCGTTTGATAATCGTTAGGTCCCCTGAGAGGACCTATGGCCATTCAGACAAAAAGCCCCTGACTGTTCAAGAACAGCAAAACATACGATCAAGATCAAGAACCACGCGTATGAAAACAAGCAGGTTAGGTGATGATGCCAAGTCGTGAGGATAAGGTACTCGATAGGGCCTCAGAACGCTGAACAGAGCACACCGGTGCACCGGAATTCAAGTGTATGGGATGTGGAAGGCCTACAGGAAAAAACGTTTCGTAGAGATCGGAGAGTGGGAGGCTCGGGAAGTTCCACATGAGAAACATTTAAAGGGTTATTGAATGCCAAGGGGGGTAAGATGGCTCAGTTGTTAGAGCACAAATTGCGGTTCGAATCCGACCTCTGTCTCCCGACTTCCTTGTCTAGGCTTGAGCAAACTGGCAGTATCCAAGTCCTCGTGCTTCCTTCGGGTTGCTTGATAGCTAAGCACTGAAAGGGTGTTACAGCTGAACGATCTTTTCAATGAATGCCAAAGGTGTGTGTGTACGTGTGGGCCACTCTTAATCACCCATATATAGACCCTAAAGAGATCAACCTAAGAATTCCGTCACCATTATAGGTGGCAAGAGAAAGAGGACAGTTCACTTACCGAGTTGCTTCGGGTGGATGAAACTGAGTTGATCGCACAGGGAACCGAACAGCTGTTCGAACAGAGCGCTCGGACACATTGGTTCAAAATTTTTCACAAGGATGAGGATTCGCCCATGGTCTACAAACTCCTGCTTGTAGTCTACCGTGAACATGATTGGAAAATGAGTGCTTCACTTCGAAACCGTCACCAGCTCATCTCTAGCAGGAATCGTGAAGTGAATGCAATGGGGTGCTAAAACAGCAGAAAAATATTCAAAAGTTGATATATAGGAAGAGCAGAACCCGACCCTGGTTGTGAATAAGCCAGTGAGTATGGTGTGGCTGACAGGATGGAGGATCATAGCATGTCGGCATGCCACGTCAATCCACTACACAAAAAATGGCAGGATATTATATCGAGTTGTCCAAACACGCGGACGTCACACAGGCGTCCGATAACGATGGATAAAAAAAGCGACAGCCTATTGTCTGGGTTTCGAATCTTCGATGAGGATGTGCATTAAGATTTTCCAGTAAAACCCTCTATCCAACGCGACTTCTAAACGGTTGGTGTCTATATTTGTCGCCCTGGCGTACAAATATACCAAGAGTGTGCTGCAGTTGGATGATTTGATATGGTAGCTGTGACGCGTAGCAGCGACACAAGCGAAGTAAGAGTACAGGTCCGCAGGAAAGCGACCCACCTTCAAAAGCCTCTTTAGATGGGTGGTGATCCTCAACAGGTATACGGTATTAAACCTCATTTCTTTGGATCACACTGTCCCGAAACGGGACAAAGAGGCTTCAAGGTGCGGTCTGCAGCTGACCTGCTGCACTGGTCTGAACGCTGGTGCCGTAGCTTTTGCTGATGGCAGCTATTCACTAATATCTAGGGGATCAGTGCTTCTGCCAGCCACATCATCCTCATTTCTCATAGCGTGCGATCCGTCTGTGGTCGAAAACTGTTTGAAATGCTACATCCCTAAAGGATTGCACACAAATGAGCCAAAACATCCAGAATGGTAATCTTCTGGTACACAGTTGTCATTCAACCTGGAGGAAGAGGAATGTATAAAGTGTCGGGATGTGAGAGCGTACACCAGACGAACGGTCACGGATTTGGACTACAAGTACTTTGGCTCCTCGGATAGCTTGAGCCCCCCAGGAGAGACAAGTCAGTTGCGGTTGATCAGGGTTTCGATTCATCAGTAAAATTCTCTAGTTGGCTTTGTTTATTCCCACCATCCCTGCCTTTCCGTCCAATTTCGCTTGTAAAGCAATCGTTCTTGGTTTTCACAAACACCGGATATGTTACGAGAACCATTTGCTTATTGTCCTACACAAATCGCGGTCAAACTGTAATCCACCAACACACAAAGAGTTATCCAATTAGGGTGTCTTGTCCATAAAGGTCATGGTAACAATCTCGTATAGGCGGGGCTGTGCTCGATGTCCCACTGAGCCGTGAACTCTTGGAGCGATTCAGACATGTTGACATCGCTTTTCGAAGCACTGCATATCCGTTTTCGCTGCTACGATGGTTTTCAGTATCATGTTTTCAGCACAGTCCAAAGTAGTTTTCCTTGATTGTCAACCATTCACAATCACATCCACACCTCTAGTGTTAGCCAGTGGAAAAGAACCGTACAAGTTTCAGATTCCTCTCCATCAGCACCACACCCACATTCATCCTCATCAAGTCATCATCATCATCGTGATCATCACCATAACCACCATAACCATCACCGTCGTCAACACCATCATCACCATCGTGATCATCAACAGTGACACATCAGTAATACACTGGCACTAGCTAACGCACAAGGCCCACAGCTGATTATGATGGAATACGATGGTTGATGTCTAACAAACGGGTCAGTCAGCTGATAGTGGAGGACGGCCAAAGTCACCGTGTGTGACTGTCTTTTCGAATAGAGTAGGGTATTTGTGACACCAAATTCGCACACTTCGTTTAGAAACTGAAAAGCTCACGGATCCCAGCGTAGAAAGTGTACCTAAACCACCCACTGAGATATCTTCCAGCTAATCACTAATCGCTAATCCTACGGTTGCGCAACTTTCAGGATTGTCGAGATGCTGGGCGTTTCTCTCGCGGAATACTAGGACTAAATCCATCGAAGCACGGGACCTGTGAGACACAGATCTTGCTAAAGTCTCAGAGGCATATTTGTTCTGGCTGGTACACGCTATGCACTACCGAGCGAAAATAGGCGTCTGTACTCAGTGAGCGAGGGTTGAAGAAATGGTGGAAGCAGAGTACTCTGAGAACATTCGAGAATGCTTCATCGCATCCATGTGAAGTAGATAGGCGGCACCCTTCCCCATTTTTGTGCTGTTCGTCATTTCCGCACAGCCCCCTGCAGACAGCGGCTGAGATAATCAAGGAGCACACAAACAGACCAGACGTGAGTGTCCTCGTGGATGGCTTAGCCCCGAAACAGAAACTTACGTTGCCAATCCCGCTTGAACAACATCTGGTCACGTAATTGGAACAGGGTCCTCATCTTACGCTCGGATTATAAGCTATCCATCATCAATACGATATCCCGATGATCATTTTGCCCCGCTAAAGGAAGTTTTCCGTCATCACCATATGTGTTGACTTGATCACATTGCCATTAGCTATCTACGGCGATGACCATCGTTCACACTGGACGACATATGGACACTGATGACACATTACTGAAGGCGGGAATATATCTGAGTCTCGGTGGACATCCAAAGGCGATTACTACTCGACTGGATCCGCAACCACCAAGCTAAACCGTGGTTCGCAATGAGAAACAGCCGTCACCGTCATCAACGACAACATTGCTTCATTGTCATACAACCACAAAGTTATCCAATCAGATTTAAAACTCTCAAGTGGAAAAAAAGGTCTGTATGGGGAAGGGACCTGACGCAACTTATCAAAAATATTCATGTGTCTACACCTCCAAACGCAATCTGAAAAAAAACTGACAGCATGAACGCAACGAATATCGGTTAGCTATCATTTCTCGCAATGGCTCCAGTCAGGGGTCAAGGAGACCCCACAATAGAAGGCGAACCGAACCAACAGTGCCAATCTCTTTTACACATAATCATTATCACTGACAGCATCACAAGAGGAAAAGGTTGGTGGTTTACTGGCCGACAGCCATGCCGAGTCAAATGCAGATATTTTATCAGCAAAGCATAGACGCAAAAGGATCTGTTAGTTCTCAAAAATGGGCCTGGGGGAATGCGGCTGACAACGAACTGAGGAGGGAAAAGAGAACGGATAAATGAAAGAGAAAAAGGAGGGGTGCCAGTGGTAACTTGATTTCGCTTACCCACCCTGCTGTATATACCAAGTAAGGCGACCCAGCTGCTGGCACTAAGCGATGGTCGATGTGGAATCAGGGGGCGAGAGGACTTAATGGTTAGAGTGCGAATCCATTCGCCGGAAGTTCCGTGGTTCGAACCAGACCCCTTCATCTCGTCTTGTCCTGTCAAGGCATGGGCAACTTGGCAGTATCCCAACCCTTGTGCTTCCTTCTCGTGGCATAGCAGTTAGGCACCGAAAGGGCACCACGGCTGAACGATGTGGAACCAGATCATTTGTAATTGTACAATTTATCGTCACATAAGTGCATGGACATTACCAGGGAGGATGATTAGTGTCCTTACCCAGATCCATTGACTCAAAAGCCCAATCGCACGCAAACATTACCATCATCGTCATCGTCATAGCATAAAACATATGCTACACTGCTGTCCGACTAAAATTCCTTTGAGAACCTTATTGTGAAGAAAAGAACCAACAAGGGTCGGAAAGGGATGTAGCACTAAGCTGCCACAGTCATCCCAAGGTGCCTTCGCCTCCAGACACTGAGTCATACAAGCTGCATAGAGATTGATAACAAGGAAGCTACTGACATCGATTAACAGCCATATCTTGCGGCGCCTCCAACCAGGTATAGGGGGGGGTATGCAGATACCGCAGGGCACCCAGACCTTTAGTAACCCCTTTCATGTCTCCCTGCACAGGTCAATGACTGAAGACCTCTCCGCTCGAGCCAACTTGCATTGGGCACGCAAAACAGCACTCCTCGTCAAACGTCCATTCGTCATGAGCAATATGTAGCCTGCCCACCACAGTTTTGGTACTGGACACATTTTTCGATGGAATTCCTAGTTGCACAAACGAACATGTCTTCTAACTGCCTCAGTGTTGACTTGCCTGCACCAGCCTACACGATCTATGGCTCTGAGACAACGGTTATCGAAGAACTGAAGACACTTAAGTTCCGCTGCTCGAAGAGGTCACATCCCCTACTAGTGTAACGGTGATACTACTGATGGGGAGGCATGCGAGTATTATGTTTTCTTCTTGTAAATTCGCTTTGCGTCTCTTGGAAAGGGATATCCGTTGTGGAATTTGTGGAGTCGCGTTGTAGCATTTGCTTGGATTCGATTAATGAATGATTTGAGTCAATGAATATCCAGGAAAGTTCAAGAAGACGCCTTCAGGAGAAGATGGATGCTCAGTTTCTGTAAATAAGATGCAAGTGAGAGTTTTGCTTCCCTGTCCAATAGTACATAACTGGTCAGTTGTCATTTTCCAATGAATAACTTCGCAGTGAAGACCTTCTTCCTTTCACCAGTACGACAAAATAGGTTGTATTGTAGCCGAATACGCAAGTCCATTGAAATTCAGAAATATGCTGCTTGGCCTCCACATGTGTCATCGTCATCATCAACAGCATGATATCAGTCATCATCATCATCATCATCATCATCATCATCATCATCATCATCATCATCATCATCATCATCATCGACAGTATGACATCAGTGTTCAACACCGATGCTTCACTGCCGTACAACCATGATTTAATTGAAAGCCTTATTGTAAAGAAAAGAGTGAAGGTGGACGGGGAAGGGACCTAGTGCTACCTTATCACAATCATTCCGAGGTGCCTACGCCTCCAGACATTCACTCAGACAATCTGGATAGAAACTGACAACAAGAAGGCCACTGACATTGGTTGGCAGGCGTATCTTAGTGTCTCCAACCAGGCACAGTGAGAATCACGCGGTCCCCACCCTTGAAGGCGAGTAGCACCGACAGCACAGCATGACATCAGTGTTCAACACCGATGCTTCACTGCCGTACAAATACATGTGTTCCCGGTTAACGAACACGATGGGAGCCTTAGAG